GCAAAGAAGCAATCTAGATCGCACAGCAGATGGATGGAAGAAGCGTGGAAGCAATCCTAAATTGTCGAAGATGCGACGGACACTATAATGTGGTGGTGGTGGGGGATGCCTTGATCCCACGGCAGTTGAGCTTGGGCGACCGCATACAGGGAATGATGATTCGGTGGTGTGCGGGGAAGGATGGGTAGGATGCGGGGGCTAGCTCCGGGTTGGTCGCTCAGGTATCCACTGCTTCATGTTGCAGACGGCTAGTGATGCCAGCATGCCTCGGGTTAATGCGACCGATGGAGATGCTGTCAATCGTCGCCTCTTTTGGGTGTGCGACCGCATAGGGGAAACAAGAGATCGGCAGAGGCTCTGCTTTAAACTTCACATAAGGTCCCAACAATGGCTTCGTGGCAGTGGTGGCTTCATGAGAGGTAACGTAGCCACGATCGACATGCGCGGATGTGGACGGGTGTTGCTGATCTCTGAACTTTACAATATGGCGTTTCAAGCTATCGTGATGGCTCGCACATGGCGTTGTAGGCCTAAAGGACAATCGCATCGGCTACGAGTCAGGTTTTGCACCGGACAACGTCCGCTCCACCAGGTTGGAGCCAGCGGCTAACGTTGCCGCATCATCAGGCCCACCCCATCACGACCCTGGTTTCTACTGACTCTTGCCGTAGATGCTTTCTAGCTCAGCGCAGACCGCGTCAGTAACCTCCTTTGTCGACGCCTTGCCTCCCAGGTCGCGCGTGGCAATGCCTCGCTCCGTGATAGCCTCCACGCTGTCCATCAATCTCTTTGCCGCTTGCTCCTCGCCTAGCCATGCTAGCATCTCAGACGCTGTCCAAAAGGTTCCGACTGGGTTCGCGACACCCTTGCCGGTAATGTCGAAAGCCGAGCCATGAATCGGTTCGAACATGGACGGATGTTGGCGTGTGGGGTCCACTGGTAACACTTAGCATGGGCAACGAATGCAACCATGTGGAAATGAAGAATACGTACGGTTGCTGGTGGGCGCGATGCCAATGGAGCCTGCCAGTGCGGCTGCAAGATCGGAAAGAATATCCGCATGCTGGACGAGTCAGTCAAAGCCGAGGTGAATACTCAGTACATTGTGTGTTACCCACCAAGTTTGTTGCAACTATCGTATCCAGCGATTTTGGATCAAGCACCATCCGGCACGTCATGGCGTCGACGAGCATCTTGTCGCACTTGACATCAGGAAAGTCTTTCGCAACTTCAGCGGCAATCTCATCCCACATAACCATGCCGTTGCGCTGCGCGTTGCTCTTAGTAACGACTGTGATCTGTTTCCTCGGCCTGCTCTGGGCTGTTTCGAAAGCGAAGCGTATGAGGCGTTCTACACCATGGCGGGTGAAGATCGAGACTTCCGTAGCAGTCTCCCACTTCTGGCCTCTATGCGACCGGCCTCCTTGTCCTGCATATTCACCTTCAGAATTCTCTCGTACTATGACCCAATCTAGGTCGCCATGCTCTGCGTTGCGCAAAGGCGATGATGTTCCCCGAAAGATCTTGGTGGGTCGCACGTTGGCATATTGCTGGAAGGTCTGGCAAATCGCTAGCCGCAAGCCCCAGAGAGAGATGTGGTCAGGTACATCTGTCAGGAGTTCAGTACCACGATTGCGTAAGACTTAGCATATGATACGTACCTGGGGCACCTACAGCACCAAACAGGATTGCGTCATGCTTCTTGAGCTTCTCTAATCCCCCATCAGGAATGTATTGGCCTGTCTTCTTGTAGGTCTCAGAACTCCAGTCGTAGTCTTCAAATTGTAGCCCGAATGTGCCGTCAAGTTGTGCCAGCTTCTTCAATACTTGTACGCCAGCATTGACAACTTCAGGGCCGATGCCATCGGCGCCCATAGTCGCAATAGAGTGCGTGCGCATGTTGGTGGCTGATGAAATGTTGGGTTGGGACAGGGAGTAACGGCTAACGAGTGATCGTAACGGCGGTAAGCACTTGAGTTGATATCTCTTGAGGTTCTATGCGCAGTATCTTTTAAGCCTCATATTCCGGACTAAGAAACCCCACATTCAGACTTCGTAGACGATGGGACTGCCGCCGAGCTCGCCACTGGTGCGCTATATCAGGGTAAGTGCGGGGGAACGCGGACAAACAAAGTCCGACGCTCCCAAACCATGCCACCACACCCAGCACTTCGAATGAATCCTGGCGCTTGAAACTATGTGAAATCCCAATGCTGCTCTTGATCGAACCAGAAGGGGATATCGAAGCCGGAGAAAGGGTCTAGGCCGTTGGAGTACTCTGTTGATGAAGCGTTGGCACCCTCCGTTCCAACGAATATGTTCCAGTAGCTGTTGTGCTCAAGAAAAGTAGCATTGTGGTTCAGGTTGCTCGTCGCACTGGATTCGAATGCTGCATCATATGGAGGGTACTGCGCGTTATGATGAGGATCGATATCATTCCTCCCTTGGCTACCGATTTGCTCTGGATGATCGTTGCGGGTAGGCAATGATTGCTCGTGCAGGCCTGAATGTACGTTCAATTCACCTTTTTGAGCTAGGCCTGCATCTCCCGCGACCTCCGAGTCGTATCTAGAAATCATTTGAGCCGACTTCTGCAGCATTCGAGCCCGTAAGTCTCGAATGGCCGCCGAGCTTGCTTCAGGCCAAGCACTGCCGCGTAGCGTGAGATGTTGAAGTATGTCGAGACTTTTATCTGCGAATCTTGGTTGTACATGTTAGTGGAGGCAGTATAATTTCAACATATTGATTACCTTATGACGATGCTGTGATCAATGCGGCCCTCGTGAGCGGCGTAGAACATGATGAATGTGCTGATCCACACAGCCCAGGTGCAGGAGGGCCAAAGGAGAGCCAATTGGTAAGAATGCGTTTGAGACCCGTCTTTGCCCTGGATAGCGGTGTGCAAGGTAGTGATGATGCTACGCGCAGAACTGATGCACTGCTGTAAGGCGGCATTATAGGCGACATCTTTACTACCGGTAGCTAAGACGGGACGATACAGCGAGATAATCAACTCGTGTCTAAGTAGTGTCAACACTACAGTCGCGTAAGGAGAAGGGCCACATCGGCTATCCGGGTCGATGTAGTCCTCAACATCGTTCCACCATTGGCCAAGCTTAGCTATGATTGATGTCGCTCGGTCAGGATCATGCTGGACGTAGTGTAGCGACTTGTTGCGCAATTCGATGATTTCGCCACGCAGCCTGGCTTGCTGGGCAACCAGGTGCAGCAGGCGGAGTTCACGACCTACAAGTTGTGAGATATGGCACAAAAGAAACATGACCTCACTCACGAGGCTCGACGCGCGTCTGCAGATGGTGTTCCGCGAGGGGAAAGCAGACGTCGATATCGTCGTCAGGTAGGCCGAGTGGGAGGCCCATGGATTGGGCAAGAAGCCGATCAACAGCATAAAGTGACCAGAAGACGCGTTGCCGAAGCTCTTTTGTGCTTGATGTGAAGGTCGAAAATCTGGCTGGGCAACGATGAAGGCCTAGCTGCACAGCCATCCGCATTATCAGCCCTCCAAGACGGGAGGCGGCGTTCAAGCGAAGCATAGAGACTAGGAAGAGCTGCACACTGAGTGCGGCTTGTAGCGTGAGTATTGTCGTAGGACGAGAAAGTATCGTCCGCAGACTATCTACAGCGGCATCATACGATGGAAAGACGATACAGGCAGGATGTCGAGTGCTCGGTAGCCCTGGCGATTGTCGATGGTCTGCAAGCGAGATGGACATGATCGAACGCACTATCACCAGTTGTAGGTCTTCCGAAGCACCATGATCGGGAAAGCCATTTCTTGCATAACAATCGAAGTACTCTAGGACAGTTGTGGCGTGTACGAAGGGGTAGAACGGGTGCCAATTAGCAAAATAGCTCCCAGAAAAAGCGACCAGATCGCGAAACGTTATGTGAGATGTCTGACCGTGTGAGATCTCAGCTTCTCGCCATAAGCGTCCGGAGGAATTCGGTTGCACTAGAGAGAGATGGTCGTCTTCGCCCGGCACGATGTCGCTGCCGGGCGTTTCGCCGTCTGTAGGCACTGCAGAGCGTCGGATCGCACCATAGACTGACCTAATGAAGAAGATGCCACTGGCACTGCCCACGAAGCCCGTGAACTTGTCACCAGGGACGCTTCGCATCAAGCCCACCTCCCGAGCAGGTTGTTCTGATGTTCGCCGTCGCTTTGCAGGCGGCTGTTCGTCCACGAAGACCTCGGATGGCGCGTCTCCATCTTGACCACGTTCCATGACCGCGATCACGCTCAGTGATGTCAGAAAGCGATATGGTGCTATATCCGATGATAATTGGTGCTGACCTGATGAGGCTGGTGAAAGCGCTGGATCTGTAACATCGAGGCGGAATGACGGAGAGAATCAGGCGCGCGAGCTGTCTAATACTGCGTATTTCATCACCCGTGAAGCGCATTCGGGGACACGCAAAGCGATGAAAATGCCATTGGTGGGCGGAAACGACGCGAAGATGCAGTGGCAGCGGCGTCGACGGCGACCGTGCAAACTTCGCCGAGCTCCGCAGCTGACCTGGCGTGCCTGACGCGTGCGCGCCCTCACCCGTTCCATCGCAACATCATCTATGGCACCACCCAAATAATGTCTTCGGCAACTCTTGATGCCGCTGCCGGGCGTCCGCTACCCACCAGGGTCAGCAAGGCGTGTGAGAGGTGTCGTCGCAACAAGAGCCGAGTCAGTCACGCCCTCCCACCGCCTGTCACGCGCGCCGCCGACTGAGTATCCAAGTGCGACATATCGCGTCCTTGCGCGCTTTGCATCCGAGCAAACGTGGAATGCATTGTAAGCAATGCCGAAGTTCCACGCGCATCGAAGAGGAGACGCACCCAAGGCCCCTCCCGCGAAGCTTCACATGAGCAACCGCAGGCACCAATCCAGCGCAATGACGACCTGCATCAAGCGACAGATCCGGAACACAACAGCCGCGATGAGAGTAGGCGTGCCAGTATCGCGGAAGGTGAAGCCAACTCAGCCATGGATATTGCGCACCAGATCTACCGACTGGGAAGTCAGCCAACCTTGAGCCGGACAACATCAGCTATACCAGGCGGCAATGTCTATGGCAGAGCCCCAACATCTCGCTTAGATCGTACTCAGAGACGCCCTATAGCGGCAATCCTCGGTCACCCTCTGCCACCAATCGACATGATGCGAGTACTTTTAGAAGAGTATTTCGACTCGGTGCATTGGTTTAGCTTGGTCATCTATGAGCCAAGATTCCGGCCAAAACTCGACTCTATCAAGGATGGCCTTGCTTATCCGTCGCAGAAGTCATTCCTCCTCCTCTTGTCTACAGTTCTGGGAATGGGAGCATGGTACAAGTCTCACAAGAAGGACGTGGATCCGGACTTTCCAGATGAGGATTGGCACGCCTGGTCGCAGTCCCTCGTTCAGGGCGCGGGTTCCCAATTGGCTGAACTGATGGACCAGAGTACCATCTCATCTGTTCAGACGTGTATCTTGCTCGGCTCCTACTACGTCTACCATGGGAAGCCTAATCTATCCTTTGCGTTACTAGGCGCAACCATCCGAACGGCACAAGCCATCGGCCTCCACCGCCAGCAGCTACGAGGCGACCCTCACTATGTCGAAGAGAGGAAAAGAGTCTGGTGGACTATCTACACATGGGACCGGTAATGCGCCCCTCCCTGAAGATACGAAGGACCTCAGTACAGAGTCTGAGCCTCCTCGTATACTGTAGCATCGTTAGCTAACTTGTCCAGCTTCGCTTCCATTACGTACGGACGACCCATCGGCATCAACGAGAAGGACTGCAATACATACCACCCGATCGACGTATGCGAGTCGCCCTACTTCAGAGGGACGAACCCCCCAGAAGCCGACTTAACAATATGTTACTCGTCCTACCAACGAGAGCTCAACAAACTCTACCTTATCGCGTCACCCATCATCGAGACCATCTTCGGGATGCGGGCGGTGGGACCCAACGAACGGCCGAGCGGACCACAATACACAGATCAGATCACAGACGTGACGGAGAAGCTTTGGGCGTGGCGTCGACATCTGCCGCCTCATCTTCTACTCGAGATGGCCTCCGACTGCAGTATGGATCAATCACGCACCGCACGGGTGCACCAGCTGCAAGCGTTGTCCCTCCAGCTTACATTTGACAACCTCCTCATCATCTTCAATCGCCCGTTAATCGCAAAACAAGTGGACCACCTCATCAGGACGCAACCGGAAAGCGGGCATGGTAACGCACTATCTCCAGCAAGCCTTACGAACACCGAATCCCCATTTCATGCGGTTCATGAGTCCAGCCCGCTCAACAGAAGCCATATGTCGAGCACGGAGCAATGGTGGGACGCCGCGTTGAGAACATCGAAGGTGACTGAACTACCGCGGCTTTCTCAGCTAGCCACTGATAGCCACCTGGTAGCTTTCTTGGCTATCAATCTGTTCAACTCCGCCATCGTCATGGCTGTGTTGGCGCTGTCTGATCCACTTTCGGACAGAGCACAGGAAGTGAAAAGGACCATCACACGCATATTTCGCTTGCAAGAGCTACTCGGCAAAAGGACACAACTCTCGATGCAGAGTAATGCGGTCCTCAAAGACGTCATCCAGATGCTACTGCGCAGAGAAGCAGATGCCATCTTTGGCGAGAGCGATGTGACAAGATCGCACACCGGGACGGCGCAGATGTCTGTCGAAGACACCCTTCGTCTGCCGACGCAACTGCCACCGAGTGGACACAACAGACAGCAACAGAGTACAGTTGACAGCATGCAGCGCGTTCACGAGAGCATGGCGTCAGTACAGAGAGGTAAGACTGATGCATTCCCGAAGCTGCGTACCAATCTAATCACCTACTTCTCACAGTGTTTCCCGCCGCCCTCGACAGCGTCTCCCGTGACGACACAGCTTATGTCCCGCAATGGGGCACGAACGACGGTGGCATAAATCACCTGCCTAGCGAACACAATGATTGGACAAATGCTAGCACCGGAGACTTCAACCTCGAAGGCGAGCTGGACTGGATCAGCGATGAGAACGGTGTTGATGTTACTGGCAATGGCCTATACTGGTTCTGGGATTCCGTCTGGAACGAGCCACAATTCTAGCTCTCGCGTCACGAACACCCTTTGGTGGGCACGCGTCTCAATTCGTGCAATTTCATTATTGCGATACCTGTTCAGCGCATCACAAACTAGAGCCTCGGGAGATCAGACACACCCCTGTGCTGCTCGGTGCGACCCTCTGCGAACGCCCTATCGATTCCTGGTCCATATATGAGCGACTTGATGCCGACTCTGTCCGCAACATTCTGAAAAGCTTGTTCCGCATCTGAGAACGCGAACTCATGAGTAATAAGACTATCTAGTTGAACACGATTGGACTCTAGTAGCTGGATAGCAAGCTTGTAGTCTCCTGGCCCGTATCGAAAGCTTCCTTTGAGCGTAGCTTCTTTGTCGCAAATCTGGCCGATTGGAAATGTGATCTTAGGAGAGCCCAGTCCAGCTTGAACGAAGACTCCACCGCGTTTCAATGCAGCTACACCACAGTTGATGCATGGCTCTGCTCCTGTTGCATCGATCACAACATCAAACCCTGCAGCCAGCCCAGCCTTCTCCAAAACTTTCTGAGCATTTGTTTCTGGAAACCCAGCTTCCATCATGTATACGTCCTCGGCACCGAAGTCGGTCGCAAAGCTCAGCCTGGGGGCCACTGCGTCAATAACCACGACTTTCGCAGCGCCGAAAGCCTGTGCCACAGCGCAACACAGCAAGCCTATGGGCCCGGCCCCGAATACCGCCACAGATCTGCCCTGAAGACTTCCGGCGAGTCCGCAGCAATGCACAGCTATGCTTAGCGGCTCCACCAGGGCACCTTCACGGAAGGATATGTGTGACGGCAGCTTGTAGCAGCACTCTTCGGGTAGACAGTAGAAGGTTGATAACGTGCCGTTGTAGGGAGGGGTGGCAGCGAACTGCATCGACTCGCATAGGTTGTATCGGCCGCTGCGACATGTCTCGCAGGTGTTGCATCCTACGCCAGGTTCCAATGCGACGCGGTCACCCACCGACAACCCTGTGACGGCTGATCCACAAGCATCGACGATACCAGCAGATTCATGGCCGAGAGTGATCGGGTTCTCGACCACATATCTTCCGATTTGCCCATGTTGCCAGCAATGTACCTAGATCGCCGTCAACGTTGATGAACACACTACAGACCACAGCGGGCGATACGTACGTCAGAACCACAAAGACCGGTAGCCACAATCCTCACGCGAATGTGCCTGGGAGTTGGAAGACTTGGAACTGGACCATGCTCGTATGAGAACACCCTGGATGGGCTCAAGACGAAGGACGTGTTCATTGGCGCTGTGAGTTGGTTCTCAGGCGACGTCAAAGACTCAGAGGAATTCTCGGGTTCGTGAACATCAGCTGAAGACATGACTGTGAAACACAGTGTACGGCAATGATTAGAATTGATGTCTCCATCTTGAGGCCCTGACTATATCACCGGCCAGGCGTCCTTACCCGAGTGCGAGAGCGACTGCAGTACGGTTCCGGCGGCTCATGCAGGCTGCTGACCTCCCGACGTTTACGAGTCGGAGCCGCCAGCCCGGAGTTTTCTGCCCCAGCACCGGTTCCGCGGCTCGTGAGAAGAACGCTTCTGATTGGCTGGCAAAGCATCCCTTAGCGCTACAGCGTTGATCAACTTCTCGAGAAACACACTAGCATATGCCGACCAAATTTCGTCGCTGCAGGGCCAACGTTAGGACCGGAACCGTAACATGACCTGACTACATACGATGATGCCGAATGTGCTCCACTACGAAAATCTGGGGACGATAAAGCCGTAAGGCTTCCCCAGATTTCTCCATCATCCCACCGCATCTCCTCCGTGTGCTCCGTAACACGCACTACTTCTCTACTCATATCTTGCTCTATACTGGTTGTGAATATGGCTGCCCGTAGTAACTCAGTGGCCAGTCAGAGCGCCAACATCCAGCAACGCGCCTCGCAAATAGCTGGACAGGTCGCTGCTGAACAGGGATGGCTTGAAAGCAAGCTAAAGCCGAAGAAAATCACCGCCAGGTACCCTATCAAGGGCAAGACGTTGTTGTTTGCAACATGTGGCTTTGGCAGTCTCGGTGATGCCTTGTTTGGTTACAACTCAGGTGTGTTCGGGTACTTGCATGTTGATCAACAATACTGATTCCGCTAGGTATCATGTCGGGCCTACTGGTCAACCCAGTATTCGTCAGGCGTTTCTTCAGCGAGTACGGTGGCGCAGATGGTAGCACAGCAGCTGTGAATCCATCCATCACAGGAATCTCCGTTGCCTGCCTACAAGCTTCCGCCGCTGTGGGTGCTCTTATCGCAGGACGTCTTGGAGACATGATCGGTCGCAAGCGCACCGTCCGCCTCGGTGGCTTGATCTATTTCCTCTCGGCTTTCATCCAGATCTTCGCCCCAGGTTTCGCTACTTTCGTCGTTGGACGTACGATTCAGGGCTTCGGAGTTGGCTTCCTATCCATGACAGTTCCTATCATCCAGACTGAGATCGCGGCACCTCACGCTCGAGGTCTCATGGTCGGCATCGAATACACTTGCCTGATTGCAGGTTACATGTTATCTTGTTGGGTCGACTACGGCTTCCACTTCATGCTTCCGGACGCGCTATCTTGGCAAGGGCCATTCATCATCCAAATCATCCTCTCGTTCATCTTAGTGGTCATGTCATTCTTCCTCCCGGAAACTCCAAGATGGCTAGCCAATAACGGTTTCATGCAAGAAAGCCTTCAAACAGTCGCAGACCTGCACTCCAGCGGCGATACCGACGCACCGCATGTGCAAAAGGTCTTTCTCGAGATCCAGGAGGCCGTCGTCTACGAAGCTGAGCTCGGCAAAGCTGGATGGATGGAGATGTTCACCCGCTACCGCAAACGCACAATCGTCGGCGTCACAGTGCAAATGTTCGCTCAACTCAACGGCATAAACATCATCTCCTTCTACCTCCCCTCCACCCTCTCCAGCGCCGGCTTCTCAGACGAGAAATCCCTTCTCTACACCGCCGCGAACGCACTCCCTTACACCGCAGCCACTGTCGCAACCTGGTGGCTAGCCGATCGCTGGGGCCGCAAGCCGCTTCTCATCCTTGGCGGTGTCCTCATGGCCGCTCTTCTCGGCATCGTGTGCGCCTTCACAGAAGCTTCCATGCCCATTATGACCCGCGCAAACGGACAATTCGCTTTTATCATGCTCTACAACATTGTCTACGGTTTCACCTGGGGACCAATGCCATGGTTGTTACCTGCGGAGATCTTCCCGCTCCGCAGCCGCAGTAAGGGCATGGCGCTTGCGACGACGTCAAACTGGGTCTTCAACTTCATCATCGGCATGGTTTCGCCGGATGCTTTTGCGGGAATCGGTGGGTACTTTTACCTTGTCATCGCAGGGTTCTGTCTCTTCTCCGCGGGCCTGGCGCACTTCTACTATGTTGAGACGGCGAATCATTCGCTTGAGGAGATTGCGATTGCATTCGGAGATAGGGCTTTTGCTGATGGGGATGGTGAGGTTATGGAAAGTGTCAAGGCACATGATGAGAAGATGCATAATGATAAGGTCTGAGGGGCTTTGGGTGTCGAACAAATACATAGTTCAAGCCAGTTTGGCGATGTATTTCTCTAAGCTCAAACCGAGATTCACAACAAACTGCCACTGCGTGTTACCGCGAAAGAACCTTGACCAAATATTCAGCACAGCCAGACCAAGCGCAAACGGCTCGCTGGGTACAGTCAAGAAACCATCAGTCTCTCCAGCATCCTCAAAGTCAATCACCGCATACGCTTCCTTGATGATACAGCGAACCCAGTGAAGAATGCGATGCTCAGATCGCGACAGCGACTCTTCGCGGAATGGACGAGGAATAGAGCACAGCCATTTGCCGAGGAAGATGGCGCACTCGAAGCTCGATATGGCATGCTGAACGCTCCAGAAGAACGCTTGGCTGCGCGCGACCCTGTCTATACCTAATCTGACGGGTATACTGAGCGCATGTGTCGAGTACAACAGGGCTGACAGTATATTGTCGTTGCGCTCGATGTCTGGAAGGTTTGCTAAGCCGTTGGCGATGACGTCGGTGTCGCGCGACTCTAGATGGCGATAAGGTCCTATGTCGAGTGAAAGCCGCACGTAAGCTACCACTAGTAGTGCGCTTGAGGTGAAAGGGATGGGTCCGCTTTCGTTGTTGGGGTCTAGCATAGACTCTGGGGTTTGTTGCCAGAGAGACGTCCATGCGCGGAGAGCGCGGCTGATCACTTGTAGCTCTGCGCTTGAGATTGTTGCAGGAGATGTGGCGGGGAAGGAGAGCTCCCTGACTACATGAATCCGCTGAAGCAGAGCATGGAGAAGGATGTAGTTGCCGATTGGGCTCGGAATTGGATGGACTAGTTCTGAAGTATGTTAATCCACGTTCGATAGCTCTTCCGATAGTAGCTTACCCTCATTTGTCGTTCCCTGCAAAAGTATCGACAACGCTTGCTGAAAGGGCATGTGATCCTCGCGTCCATCGCGTTGTAGTGCAGCCCACTGTGCGGCACTACTAGCCTGCCAATCTGGTGTACAGCAAGGGAGTCGCAGATGAAGTTCGCTGCTCCAAAGCAGAGGATGGATGTTGTATGCAATACTATGCACGTTGATGTAACAAAAGGCCACGAGCTTTGTACGTCTGGATGACTCGCGCTGTACCCAATTATCCCACATCGCTGCTCTAGAGGTCGATATATTCCTGGGCGGCTCCTCTTCTTTGAGACCTATATCTCGAAGTGACTGCACTAGAAGGCCTCGAAGTGCGAACGCTTGCTGAAGTAGGTCTTTCCTTTCCCATGTCGCAAACCCTACCAGGATCAGTAGGGTTTTCGCCATGTCCAAAGGCGACCACGGTCCTGTGCGTCTGCTAATGAAATGCGCTTCTGGCGAGCATATGTTCGTAGAAGCGATGAAGGAAAGAGTTTGTGGCCCGAAATGCGACTCTTCCTGTCGTAGGCGTTCGAAGACAATGGCTTTCGAGACACGAAAGAGACGTTCGGAGCTTCTTCGCTCGAAGCAGT